GCCAAATCGTCGGTAGATGTATTTGAAGAATTTCTTGGCAACTCCTTCTGAAGTGATAGTTTTAGTGCAAGGGATAAGAATTACCCCCTTCATAAGGCCATGGTCGACCACGACCATCACAGAATCAAAGCCAGTGCAGAGGGGAAGATCGGTGATCAGATCAACGGAGACCTGCGTGAAGGGAGCTGCAGCGGCGGAAGGAATAGGGACCAAAGGAGGGAGTACAGGATGGGTATCGGATTTCATCTGCTGGCAAAGGGCACAACCCTCAACGTATTTACGGATATAGGTGCCCATAGAGGGCCACCAAAAATCTCTCTTGACTAATTCCTCTGTTTTAAAGCGACCGGGGTGGCTGGCGGTGGGATGGTCATGACATCGTTCTAGAATAAGATGCCATCTGGCAGGGCAGATGTAAGCATGGTCTTTATAGTAAAGAATATCATCCTTAATGGTCCAGTCGGCAAGTGCAGATTTCATCGGGGGAAGAGAAAGACCATCCAGCGCATCAGAAGCAGTGGTGAAGATGGGGTCAGGATCCAACGGATCAGGGTTGGCGAGCGTGGTCATGAGCTCGACGTCAAGGAGTCAGACAAACATGGAATTGGGGAGGAGGGTCTCGTTTTTGTTGTTGTCAGTGGAGTCGGATCCATGATCAGGGCAGCGAGAGAGAGTGTCCAGAGTGACGAGTTTAGTTCCTGCGACATGATGAAGTTCTATATCATAGCATGACAAAATCAGCTGCCATTGAGCTTGTTGACGAGTCAGCTTCTGCGTGGTTCGGAAATACAGTAGATTTTTGTGGTCTGTGAACACTATGACCAAGTGAGCATTTCCTTCTAGGTAATGGCGCCATTCTGTAAGGGCGCAAATGACTGCAAGGAGTTCCTGATCAAAAATCTGGTAATTTCGTTCTGCCGGATTTAAGGTCTGCGATAGATATCCACATGGGTGATAGACACTGTTATCATCGGTCTGGAGCAATACCGCGCCTGTGGTGACCAGGGATGCGTCAGTTGCGACTGCGAATTGTCTACTGGGATCAGGATTCAGGAGAACTGGTTGCTTCAAAAAGCATTCTTTCAGGGCGGAGAAGGCGGACGAGCATTGTTCTGTCCATAAGAATTTGACAGTCTTCTTGGTAAGATCAATTAAAGGTCGGGCGATGTCAGAGTAGTGGGAAATGAAGTTTCGGTAGAAATTGCAAAATCCCAAGAATGACCGGACCTCCTTTATGGTTGTTGGTATAGGCCAGTCTCAAATACCATTGGTTTTGGTATTGTCCATTGCCACGCAACCAGGGCGGATGATCATCCCAAGATACTCCACTTCTTGAGCATCAAATGTACATTTCTCCGGTTTAAGGAAGAGCTTTTCTTGCCGAATTCTGTCTAAGATGCGTCGTGTACGTTTTTGGTGGGAAGCGAGGTCGTTAGAGAAAGTCAGAATATCGTCCATGTATATGACGAGCCATCCTTTGTTTATTTCTTGTTGAAACGTCTTGTTCATATATGCCTGGAAGGTAGCGGGGGAATTGCAAAGGCTGAAGAACATGACATTTGGCTCACACAGACCATACTCTGTAGTGAAAGCAGCTTTCCATCGGTCTTCCGGGCAAATGCGGATGTTGTTGTATCCTGAACGAACGTCCATCTTCGTGAAGTATTTGGCACCATGTAACCGAGCGATTAGGGAGAGTGGCAACAGGAGTGGATAAGCGTTCTTAACCATCCATTCATTGATGTACCAGTAGTCCTGACAGGGGCGAAGATCCCCGCCCTTCTTTCCTATGAAAAAGAAACCGCTAGCCTGTGGTGACTTCAATTCGGAGATGAATTCTTTCTTCACATTTTCATCGATGAATGCTTTGACCGCTGTACGCTCTTTCTCAGATAACAGGTATACCTTGGACGTTTTGGGTATGAAACCAGGTTTAGTTTCTATTCGATGATCTATCCCAGGTCGTTCGGGAGGCAATTGATTCAGACTGTCTTTTGCAAAGATGTCGGCGAAGTCGTGAAGGTAGGAAGGGACGAGTTCTTCAAAGGACTTCTTCTTTTGCTCGAGCCCAGCGGCTAACGCGAACTGTTGGGCTTTGTTACTGGTTTTAATGTATTCAGTGGGCCGTGCCAGAGGTGTAACCGTGGTTTGTTGTTCTGCGACACTAGTCCCGTCCTTCATTAACGGGGTATCTAGTGAGACATTGGTGACTACCTGAAGCTCCGAGGCGTCGGTAGGGTATTCGACCAGAAATTCATCATCTTCTAAACGATACGTGGAGATTTCCTGCACCGATGGTGCATAGTCTGTTGTCCATACGTCTTCTTTAGTATCAAAGGATTCGTCGTTGTCGTCAGGGATTTCTTCCAATGGTGGTGTCGGTTCGTCATCAGGGATTTCTTCTAAAGTGACTGACAGTGTCGGTTCTTTAGATAGGTTGACCGATTTCCGAGGAGCCTTTGGCAGCACTACTACTGGGATTGGTTCCTTCATCTGATCTGGTTTTCGGAAAAGGAGGGGAAGTCCATTCTTCTTTCTATCTTTATCGACATCTTCTTCGATCTGATCACTTTTCTCCATTCTCTGGAGTTCTAGTGTTTCTGCTTTCCATCGGATTACCAGATCCATGGCACGTAGCCAGGGGATTCCTGGTAAAATCTGATCATGCCAACTGAGTCGGGTGATGTTGAACTTTCCTATCATGGATCATTCATCAATCTTGACAATAAGGACACAATATCGGGTGATGGCGCCCCCTTTTGCATAACTCCCATCTGCAGTGGTAACTCAAAATGGTTTTGATAGTTTATGCGTTCGGATCCCGTGAGTTTTGACAAACTCTTCAGAAATAAAGGTTCCGGCAGCGCCGGAGTCAACAACTGCTGTTGTTTCGACGGTTTTCAGATGGGTTCTGGAAATGAGAGAAATGGGAATGCGAAGTTCCTTTCTGATTCCAATACTTTGTACAAGTCTGATAGGTACGGAAGATACTGACGTCGATCCAGTCTTCCACATCAAAAATCCTTGGTGAGGCGACAGATCATTGTATCTTCATCTTCTTGATCGCTGTTGCTTATTTCTTCTCTGTGAACAGGGATCTTCTTCTTCTGCTGGCATGCTTTAGTCATATGTCCCTTCTGGTGGCATGTGAAGCAAAGTCCCTTCTTCATATGATCACTTCTCTTGGCTTCAGTGAGCCGGTCTACTTCCATGGCATTTGGATCATGCCGGTCAATGGAGGGTCTGGGTACATATCATTGTCCTGATGGTTTGGTGGTGGTTTGATGGTTTGATCGATACGCGACCCCTCTCTGGTAGTTGCTATCCAGTCTAATGACAGCAGCGATGTACTTGTTGAAATCTATGGGAATGGTTTCCATCTGGTAGACGGAGTTGACAATTCCTTTCTTCAGTCTGTCATTGAAGAACGTGATAAGGACAGCGTCTTGCTTCATGGAGGCTTGTGCAGCAAGGGTTTTGAAACTGGCGATGTAGGAAGTAAGGTCGCCCGTCTGTTTCAACATTTGGAGTTTGTTCATGGTGGTACCAATGGCATCAGCCGGTACAAAGGCCTCTTTGAACTTGGCTTCAAAGTTCACAAAGGTCCCATAGGTCTTGGCGATGGAGTTGTCGACTTCGGTGTAGAAAGTAAGTGCCCAACCCATAGCACTTCCTTCTGTCATATAAGCAAGGGCAGTGATGACCTTCTTGTCATCGGTGTTATAGATTGTAGCGTTAAGTGCAAAATATGCTTTAACCACATACAACCATCGTAGAGCCTGATGAGGACTCCCATCATAGTTGGATGGAGCTCTGGCTTTCAATTCTGGGGAGGTAGAGATGGTGGACATCCTGAGCGTCTGGTCAAGTGATGTTTCTGGTTCAGGGGAACATTATCGTCCTCTCACTGAGTTCTTTCTGGTTCTGTAACCTCTTCGGATGGAGAGGGTCGATGATGGACTTTAATCTTTTGTTATGGTGGACTAGGATGGGCTCAACAACAGGTACTCAATAAGAGCACACCTGAAGCCGGTTCAATCCTTACAAATGTAAGGTTCTTTAAGACAAGTCAGAGAGAGTGTCTCTGGCTCAAATATCGGTTATCAGATGACTTAGGATTGGGGGTCCTAAGCGAAGGATAGTTCTGGGTAAAACCTAGTAGATTAAAGTGAAGTTCTAACTAAGTACAAGACCGGGTTTATATAGATGTAAGAGGTTTAGGGCTGGTATTGTACGCATCATCTAGACGAGTCAGAGATAAGAGATGGTGTCATCTAGATGAGTCAGAGATAAGAGACGGCGTCGAGTCAGAGATAAGAGAGAGTGAGTCATCTAGCAACAGCACGTGGCGGTTGTGATGTAATACAGCTGCGGATGATTGGTTGGTCTAATGATGGCACGGTAAGGTGCGGTCATGACGTAATACATGAGCGAGAAGAGAGAAAAGAGATAGGGGTAACCATGATTGTAACAATCATCAAATAATGCTCAAATCCTAACCACCTCTCCTTTGGGACTGTCCAATTCTATCCTGTGTATGAATGGGACTGCTTCCCTGTTCTCTAGCTGAGTTTTCATGACTTGTTGATGTCCAATTGAGTATAGGTCACTGATTTTGATTGTGTCGCAGGGCTCACTACTACATGAGTTGTTTGTAGCTACATGTTCTGCTGAGAGTTTGGGGCTATTGGTCCTGTGTTTGTCCTCACACCTTGCCTCTCCACATGCGAGGACCTTGACACCTGCTTGTTCTTTCCTAAGACTATGGGTCGATGTATTCTGCTGTCTTACGCCAACCCGTCCGCTTTTCCCTGCTGCTCTGATACTTCTTTGATCCATGCTGACATTGTCTCGTATCTGTCATTCATGATGAGTGATATGGGAGTTGCTGAGAAATGGTTGAATGTGCCTAGGACTTGACTTGAAACTGCTCTCCATGCTGCTTCTTTCCTCTCTAAGCATGCTGCATCTCCTGGAGGGAGTATGCAACTGCAACTGTTATGTCCATGCGTTCCACATGCGAAACATTCCCCTGAACATATGGTCGCCATTCCTGGCTTCAGCAGGTAACCTGTTTCATGCGTAATCCTCATGTTCTCTCCCCACTTCATATTCCATTGTGCAATTTGCATTGTGTGGGCTGTGTTACCTGCAGGAGTGTCTGGATGGTGTGGAAAGGCCGCGATTAAGCGTTTGATGCTTGCTTTCAGTTCGTCCATTACTACTACTGGCTGTTGTGGGGCTGTGATGTTGCTTGGCTGATGACTGTAGGTGTTACAGTGAACCGTAAGTCGACTAGGATAGGCGCGGCAATAGGTACTCGATAAGAGTTCGCCTAAAGCCGGTTCGTGTCCTTACAAATGTAAGGTTCTTTTAAGACAAGTTAGAGAGAGTGTCTCTAGCTCAAATATCGGTTATCTGACGACTTAAGATTGGGGGTCTTAAGTGAAGGATAAGGCAGGTAAAACCTAGTAGATTAAAGTGAAGTTCATCTAGTACAAGATCGTGGTTTATATAGACATAAGTACTTTAGGGCAGGTAAGTAAACGTCATCGACCAAGTCATAGGTCAGTCATGATGAAGAGAATGAGTCATCTAGTGACGGCATACTGCGGTCATGATGTGATACAATATGGGAAATGGTTAGTCTAATGATGGCACGGCAAGGTGCGGTCATGATGTAATACATGAGTAAAGAAGAAAAGAGATAGGGGGTAACCATAGTTGTAACATTACCCCTCGTTTAGCGATGAAGTCACCGACTTCACATATCTTGGTTGGCCCAGTAGATGGGGTCCGCGTCGTAGTTGGAATGAAGGAAGTCGTCCTATTCTTCCGTAATGGTTTGCGCCATTTGCTCAGCGTGAGCGATAGCGTCTTGCTCAATCTCCCAACGAGCGAGCGCGTCATAGAAACCGACGTCAGTCCATACCAAAGGAATGACTGCTTCTCCTTTTAACTCTTTACAGAAGACCGATAAGTGACCTGGTGCGTATTCTTTACAAACTCTGCAGTAATACACAGGGCAGTTCTTGTGACGATGTCCAGCAATGTGGCAGTTGCGACATACGACGTTATCGACCGGTGATGTTTTTATGATTGTAACGGAGGAGGTTTGGTTTGGGGGAGAGGGTGACCGTGAACGCTTGAGAGGTGCTTTGGTGGGGGAGGCAGAGGCAGCTCGTTTGGCGGCGAGACGAGAGGATCTTCGTTTAAGTGGGAGTCGTCGCGTGGTTCGTATGATGGGGTCAGGAGAAGGAGAAGTCGGTACATCAAGCATGGCAATAGGAGGGATGTTATCATCCTGATGCTCCATGGTAGCTGCAACAGGTACCGGCGGTGGTACAGGTACAGGGGTGATGACGTGGGGAGAGGGTGGTCATGCAACAGGGTTGAGGGCAATGCGTTCGGTGACGATATGAATAGCTTCTCGAATAGCGTCTCTAGTTTCTTCTGGCAGGAGACGGATTGCAGTGTTGCGTATACGTATGTGGAGGTGGCGGAAAATGGTTTGGTGATGCTCATCGTCAAGGAGGGCTGCGGTGCGGTCAATAAGACTGGCATCTCTTATAATTCTAATTATAAGGCCGCTGGAGATCGCCCCTCTTTCTCCGAGAATACGGTCTATCTCAATGGTGTACTGCTGGGAGGTGATGGCGGATTCAAACAAGGCGCTAGTTTCCACCTGGTCAATGACCGAGAAGTAGTCGGTAAGGGTAGAGTCGTCAGTCAGGGTAAGGGTGGAGTCAGAAGTTGGTGGGGAGGTTACAGGGGATGATGCGTGTCGCGCTAGATTAGTGGAGGTGGCGTTCTGGTAGTCTAGGAGTGTCAAGGGATGGGCATTTCCTTCAGCGACAGTGTTCATGGCAGCAGTAAGTTCTTCAATGCGAAGGATGCAGAGGTGTAGTCGTTCGATAGAGGACATTGTTGGCAGTCTACAGCCTATGGGCCTTTTTATAGGAATTGAGGGTGTCGGTAGCATTAGCTAGATTTCCTTCTGGAACCCACTTGTTGCTAGCGGATGAGTATCCTTTCCAGGATACGAGATAGTGTCTTCGTTTACCCGTTCCTTTGTGCAATAAGATCACATCAATTTCATATTCTTCTTCGTTATCGATGACATCAGGTGGTGGGTCATGGTAGTTCAGCCCGTGAACCTCTGTTTCATGATAGGACGATAATTCGGAAGCATGGAACGTGGGGTGAACTTTCCACTGAGGCGGTAGTTGGAGTGTGAATGTGATGGGAGACAGGATGGCGGTGATTGGGAATGGGCCATATCGCTTGGGGGCGAGCTTTCGTGAAGGTAACTGCGTGATCAGGTTTTTTCCAGATAACCAAACCTTATCTCCGATCTTCCAGGGATGATACTTTTGTCCGTGAGTTCTTTCTGCCATTCACTGCATCGCAAGGTTGTGGCAAGAGAGCGCTTCTTCTCTAGATTTTTGGAGCAAGCGGAGTCTGTCCGTTGCTGCAGGAACTGTGGAGTCAGGAAGGGTGTGTGGAAGGGCTTGTGGTTCATATCCCATCATCAAGAAGAATGGCGATGCATTGCGAGAGTCGTGTTTCCGGTGGTTGTGTACAAATTCCGCCATGGGGAGATGTTCTACCCAGTCTTCGGGGTTATTCTGACAGTAGATTCGGAGGTATGTTTCCAATTCTTGATTGAGTCATTCGGTTTGACCATCGGTTTGGGGATGGTAGGCGGTTGATGCTGCTATGTCGTACTCCAGGAGCTTGGCGAGGGCTTTGGAAAACTTGGATATAAACTGTGGACTGCGATCAGAGATGACTTTTTCATGTAGGCCGAATCGTCGATAGACGTATTTGAAAAATTTCTTAGCGACCCCTTCAGAACTGATGGTTTTGGTACATGGGATGAGAATTACCCCCTTTGTAAGCCCATGGTCTACCACAACCATGACAGAATCAAAACTGGCGCAGTGGGGAAGGTCGGTAATGAGATCAACGGAGACTTGAGTGAAGGGTGCTGCAGCGACAGAGGGAATAGGGACAATGGGGGGGGTCATCGGATGAGTGTCAGACTTCATTTGCTGGCAGAGAGCGCAACCCTCTACGTATTTGCGAATGTAAGTGCCCATGGCGGGCCACCAGAAATCTTGTTTAATTAGTTCTTCAGTTTTGAAACGTCCAGGGTGACTGGCAGTGGGGTGATCATGACATCGCTCTAAAATAAGGCGCCGGCCGGCGGGGTGGACGTAGGCGCGATCTTTGTAATAAAGGATATCATCGGAGATTTTCCAATCTGAGAGGGCAGATTTCATGGGAGGAAGAGACAGACCATCCAGGGCATCGGAGGCGGCAGTGAAGATAGGATCAGGGTCAGAGGGGTTGGGGTTCACGAGTGTTGTCATGAGTTCAACATCAAGAAGTTGGACGAACATGGAATCTGGCAGGAGGGTTTCATTGGTATTGTCTTCTGAAGAGTCTGACCCATGATCGGGATGACGGGAAAGTGCATCAGGGGCAACGAGTTTAGTTCCTGCAACGTGGTGAAGTTCAATGTCGTAGCATGACAGGATTAACTGCCATCAGGCTTGGCGGCAAGTTAGTTTCTGGGCCATCCTAAAATATAGCAGATTCTTGTGGTCGGTGAAGACGATGATAGGATGGGGATTTCCTTCCAAGTAATGACGCCATTCAGTCAATGTGCGAATAACCGCAAGAAGTTCACAATCAAAGATTTGGTAATTCCGCTCTGCGGGGTTTAATGTCTGGGACAAATATCCGCATGGGTGGTAGACACCGTTATCGTCAGTTTGGAGGAGTACTGCGCCTGTAGCGACAAGGGACGCATCGGTAGCGACCGCAAACTGTCTAGCAGGATTGGGGTTCCGAAGGACTGGTTGCTTCAGGAAGCATTCTTTTAGGTGGGAGAAGGCGGATGCACATTGCTCTGTCCAAAGGAATTTAACATCCTTCTTGGTAAGGTCGATCAATGGTCTAGTGATGTCGGAATAATGGGAAATGAAGTTTTGATAGAAATTGCAGAATCCCAGAAACGACCAAACTTCTTTCACCGTGGTGGGTACTGGCCAATCTCGAATACCGCTAGTCTTGGCATTGTCCATTGCTACACATCCAGGGCGGATAATCATTCCGAGGTACTCTACCTCTTGGGCATTGAATGTGCACTTTTCGGGTTTCAGGAAAAGTCGTTCTTCCCGAATTCTTTCAAGAATACGCCGAGTTTGTTCATGATGGGAGGTGAGGTCGTTTGAGAATATCAGAATGTCATCCATATATATGACAAGCCATCCTTCATTAATCTCCTGCTGGAATGTCCTGTTCATGTACGCTTGGATGGTGGCGGGAGAATTGCAGAGACCGAAGAACATGACGTTTGGTTCAAAGAGACCATATTCCGTAGTGAAGGCGGCTTTCCATCGATCTTCTGGATGAATGCGGATATTGTTATACCCCGAACGGACGTCCATCTTGGTGAAGTACTTGGCACCGTGTAGTCATGCAATCAGGGAAAGCGGTAGTGGGAGGGGATAGGCATTCTTGACCGTCCATTCGTTGATATATCGGTAATCCTGGCAAGGACGAAGATCTCTGCTTTTCTTTCCTACAAAGAAGAATCCGCTAGCCTGCAGAGACTTCGATTCAGAAATAAATTCTTTTTTTACGTTCTCGTCGATAAATGCCTTGACCGCCATATGCTCCTTTTCTGACAACGGGTATACCTTTGATGTTTTGGGAATAAAACCAGGTTTAGTTTCTATTCGATGGTCTATCCCAGGTCGCTCGGGGGGCAGTTGGTTAAGACCGTCTTTCGCAAAGATGTCGGTGAAGTCATGAAGGTAGGGAGGAACGAGTTCTTCGAAAGATTTCTTCTTCTGCTCAAGCCCAGCGGCTAATGCAAATTGTTGGGCTTTATTGCTGGTCTTAACATACTCGGGGGGCCATGTCAGAGGTGTAACTGTGGTTTGTTGTTCCGTAACGCTAGTCCCGTCTTTTGTTAACGGGGTGTCTAATGAAACGTTGGTGATTACCCGAAGTTCGGAAGTGTCAGCAGGATATTCAACCAGGAATTTGTCATCTTCTAAAGGGTAAGCGGCAATTTCTCACACAGGCGGTGCGTAGTCCTCTGTCCATATGTCATTCTTCGTATCAAAGGATTCATCGTTGTCGTCAGGGATGGGGTCAAGATTAGGCAATGCCGATACTTCATCACGAACTTCTTCTACCGTGACTCGCGGTGTTGGTTCTCTTGGGAGGGTGACCGGTTGTACAGGAGGCGCCTTCGGCAGCACTACGACTGGAACTGGATCTATTCTTTCGTCTGTCTGTTTTGATGTTTGAAATAAGGGAGGGAGACTGTTCCTCTTTCGTTCTTTGTCAACTTCTTCTTCAATCTGATCACTCTTCTCCGTCCGGCAGAGTTCTAGCGTTTCCGCCTTCCATCGGATTACTGGGTCCATAGCGCATAGCCAAGGGATCCCTAGTAAGATCTGGTCACATCGGCCAAGCCGCGTGATGTTAAACTTTCCGATCATAGATTGGTTATCTATCTTGACAATAAGGATGCAATATCTAGTGATAGTGCCCCCCTTCGCATAACTTCCATCCGCAGTGGTAACTCGGAATGGTTTTGCTAGTTTATGCATTCGAATCCCGTGGGTTCTGACGAATTCCTCAGAGATAAAGGTTCCAGCAGCGCCAGAGTCAACAATGGCTGTTGTTTCAACGGTTTTTTGACGAGTTTTGGAGATAAGGGAAATGGGAACACGAAGTTCCTTTCTGATTCCAATACTTTGTACAAGTCTAATGGGTTCATCGGAAGATACTGACGTTGATCCAGTCCTCCACATTAAAAATCCTCGGCGAGACGACGGATCATTTCATCTCCTTCCTCTTCTTCGCTATCGCTAATTTCTTTTCTGCAAACTGGAATCTTCTTTTTCTGCGGGCATGCTCTAGTGAGATGGCCTTTCTGGTGACACATGAAGCATAGTCCCTTCTTCATATGGTCACTTCTCTCGGCTTCAGTGAGCCGGTCTACCTCCATGGCGTTTGGGTCGTGTCGGTCAATGGAGGGTCTGGGTACGTAGCGCTGTCCAGACGGTTTGGTGGTGCAATGGTTAGATCGATACGCGACGCCTCTCTGGTAGTTGCTGTCGAGTCTAATAACTGCAGCAATGTACTTATCGAAGTCGGTTGGAATGGTTTCCATCTGAAAGACGGAACTAACAATTCCTTTCTTCAACCCATCATTAAGGAACGTGATGAGGATGGCGTCTTGCTTAACACTGGCTTGAGCGGCCAGAGTCTTGAAACTGGTGATGTAGGAGGTGAGATCTCCTGTCTGTCTCAACGTCCTAAGCTTGGTCATGGCGGTGCCTATGGCGTTGGCTGGCATGAAGGCTTCCTTGAACTTGGTTTCAAAGTTTGCGAAAGTTTCATAGCTTTTGGTAGCGGTGTTGTCAACTTCGGTGTAGAAAGTAAGTGCCCAACCCATGGCGCTATCTTCTGTCATATATGCGAGAGCGGTGATAACTTTCTTCTCGTCGGTGTTGTAGATTGTTGTGTTAAGCGCGAAATACGCCTTAATCACATACAACCATCTTAGAGCTTGCTGAGGGCTCCCATCGTAAGTAGATGGAGCTCTGGCTTTTAATTCTGGGGTGTTGGTGACGGTGGACATCCTGAGCGTCTGGTCAAGTGATGTTTCTGGTTCAGGGGAACGTTTCTCGTTCTCTCGCTGAGTTCTATAGTCTGATGATCTGGTAACCTCTTGGATAGAGAGGGTCGGTAGATGACTTTAATCTTTTGTTACGGCGAACCGTAAGTCGACTAGGATAGGCACGGCGATAGGTACTCAATAAGAGTTCGCCTAAAGCTGGTTCATGTCCTTACAAATGTAAGGTTCTTTTAAGACAAGTTAGAGAGAGTGTCTCTAGCTCAAATATCGGTTATCTGACGACTTAAGATTGGGGGTCTTAAGCGAAGGATAAGGCAGGTAAAACCTAGTAGATTAAAGTGAAGTTCATCTAGTACAAGATCGTGGTTTATATAGACATAAGTACTTTAGGGCAGGTAAGTACACGTCATCGACCAAGTCATAGGTAAGTACACGTCATCGACCGAGTCATAGGTGAGTCATGATGAAGAGAATGAGTCATCTAGCGACGGCATACTGCAGTCGTGATGTGATACAATATGGGAAACGGTTAGTCTAATGATGGCATGGCAAGGTGCGGTCATGATGTAATACACGAGTAAAGAAGAAAAGAGATAGGGGGTAACCATAGTTGTAACAGTAGGTGGACTGCGTGCTCTGATGATTTTGATTCACAGGTGCTCTTGTGTATCTGTTATTGCTTGGAGGCATTATCAGTGAGTTTGTCATGTTGATTGACATCTGATTGAGTTGATTCTGAAGTGCATCAATGGGGTTGGGTATCAGTGTTCATTGACAAATGCATGCAAGGTCTGTTTTCAGGGCATTTAATTCTTGCGTTTGTTGATTGTGTTGTTCTTGTTTCTCTACTAATCTGCTCCCTTTAAGTTCTGTGACTGCCTTTGCGAATTCTGTCCAATTCGTGTATTCTTCATCCTTAAGCAAGTCCTTGACTATGTCTGGCAATGTGCTGCGCACTTGCCAGATCATCGAGGTGCTCTGTGCAATCCCCACACTTGTGGCCAGCTGTAATGTCTTCATGGCCCATGCTATGTGCATCCAGCATTCGCAGTCATACAATGTTGTCTTCTTCCTGACCTCCATGTGCTGTAACTTGTGATCTAACAACTCTTTCTCATATTCTGCTTTTGTCTTCTCCACAATTTTAACTGGTGGCCAGCATGCTTCAAACACTGTGACAAACACGATCCATGTGGCTCTATTCATGGTTGGTAGCACTTGGAACCAAGCCTCTGCCTGCAAACTGGTGCCCAAATAATCTCCAAACACTTCTAGTTTGTCTCCATTTGCAGTTACAGACTGTTGTCTCATCACTCGATTGAACAATTTCAAGAAGTTGGCCGGGTTTTCAGATGGCCATCCATCACCATGAAATATTTGAGGAGTTTCCATGGGCATGATGACCTTTGGATGTGTATTGAATGTGAGCTCAAAGAATTTGTCGAGTTCATAGTCTGGTGCTGCTGGTCCTGTTTTCAAGTGACAAGGTCTGGGCTTGAATTCAGGCCAAGGTATCTCTAAATCTAGCTCCAGGACTTCTAGTTCTGGGAATGGGACATTATTGTCTCTCTTGTTGTCCTCGAGGCTGCTAAGCAATGACTCACTGGAGGGAGTTGTTGTGTTTTGTGAGGACATGCCAGGTGCATCTAGTTGGGAGGATGTGACTGCTGTCTCTGCTGTCCAGTCTTCCCAATTCATTTTTGACCACATGTTGGTTACTGCTTTCCCTGCTGCTGTTCTAGGTCTTAGTAACTTTTCAGTATCTTGCATCAGGTGTTCATGTAAAAAAAAACAGGATACATGTAGCCTTTTTGTTATTGTTTCTATAATGATTTCTGGTTTTGGTTGTCTTTTGATGTAATAAGGTTGCTTGTTTCTGCAAATAGCTTGTTCGATGTTCTGGATCGAAGTTCTCTATTTTCTAATCCAATGGCTAAGCTGTGACTGCAAGCTGCAACTGCTAAACGCTAAAGCTAAGCTGGGTTTGTTCAAATCTGATCTGTTCACCACGATGTAGTAGTGCCGAAGTGATGAACCAAGGACTCTGATAAGCGTGATGATGATGTGCTACTACAAGAACCGACTTGGTTGTCTACATGTCTGACTAAGCTCTGGAGATCTCCGCAGAGCTAGGTCTCTGGTTCATGCTTTGGGACCCCTAGTCCAACGCGAACTTGGATGAGACAAAACACACTGATCATCGCACAGCCGTGATACATTATTCACCAGACATGCTCTTCAAGTGCATCCATAGTCTATCCTCACAATAACAATGGTTTTTTTATAGCCCAACTCAGCTGGACCTATTGAGGTGAGCGGCGCCAGTGACAAGGAGGGATGCCGGGCAGGAGCGGGCGCAGCGATACCATGAGCACAGGAGGTACGTGCTAGTATTTATTCACTCTTATGATCTATGCACTAGGAATATAAACGAAAGGTCATGGCGCAGGTGAGTACCATCATGCCCACCAGGTTTATGAGCCACTGTACTAACTGGATTTTTTTACAGGTTGGCTCTTTTTCGATCCTCCAAGGCAAGGACAGCGGGAATGAGCGGAATGACTAGTGGTGGTATCCCAGTGCACGATAATATCGACGTCGAGATGGTAGATAAGGCGCGAGGGGGCGGGACGGGGGGGCAGCGGCCCAACTAGTATTATTGTAACACCTCCCAGATACCAGCAATTCACCGTGATACACACTTACAATTCATTCCATAGGATTGGATCTGTATCGGTGGACTAGGGGTCCCAAGGCATGAACCAGAGACCTAGCTCTGCGGAGATCTCCAGAGCTTAGTCAGACATGTAGACAACCAAGTTGGTTCTTGTAGTAGCACATCATCATCACGCGTATCACAGTCCTTGGTTCATCACTTCGGCACTACTACATCGGTACCATTTTCTAGGCCAAATCAAATCATTTTCAATGCATACATTGGGACGAGTGACCTATCTAAAGATCTACATTTCCCTGCGACTTCTATCTTGTATCGTCTTGAAAAGTGCCGTTTTTTTCCGAAAAACCTCGAAACACGACGATAAAATCAGCAGGTTCTATTTTCTTCAATTTATATCGACACGTACCTGCCTGTTTCTTGTCGATTTTCACTGGGATTTCGTACTGATTGTATGTTTTCGAAACATTGTTCACCCTGGTGTAGATATAGAGCGAGCAGAGCGCTCGCTTTTTGCGCGATTAACGAAGAACAGAGGGAGGCATAAAATTGATACGGATAGTTATGGGTGCCGAAAGATTCTCGAATCATACATATCTACGAAAAACTGATAAAATGTGACATGTACGATATCCAGAATAATGGGGCCCCGTGCTGTCAGAGAAACAACGCCGGTGGCCATGACCCCATGAAGTCCGTAGTAATAAGAATTTAGAGATGAGTGCAAGAGTACAAGTAAAGGGATGAGCAGGTAGACGCGAGTTCCTGACATAGGCCTATGTGATGAGGAGCTCTACTTCTATCTGAGAAAAGTGTAGCACTTCAGCGGCAGATGGGCGGTTTTCTGGGACGGACCAGCATCTTTGCATGAATAACCAGTGATGATCCGCGATGTGAATATCATGCGGTCGCGAGGGTTTATTTCCGTTCAATATTTCGATGGAAACCTTGGATTTGCTTCTGACCTCATAATAGGGCTCGCGGCCAGTGAGGATCTGCAAGATTTTCAAGCGATGCATATAATATCATAGGCGCAACGGACCTGATATATGACACTTCCAAGAGAGTAAATATCACTCTTGGTCGTGGGCGTGACCATGTTTTGGCTGTCGAAGCGTTCTGGCGCTGCCCATCTCACAGATGGGGGAATATGTTGCCCTCGGTGTACCGCACTGACATCGTAATCTGCAAGATATGCAACACCCATGGCATCAATCAAGACGTTGTTCTAAATGCATCGCAATAAGATACAGAATTATACTGGTAACAAATAAAGGTGGCTCACTCCATGTAGATTGCCATGAATGACATTCTTGTAGTGCACTACATTGATTTTTCAGAAACTCGAGTCAGAATGTATGTCAGAAGTGAAATCCCGTAGTGCTCACGGTAACAGAGTCCAGCCGCTATTTGCTTGATCTACTTTACCAAATTAGACGTATTCAAACAGAAAGAGTGGACAAGACTTGCCAGGTAAAACCTTTGCAGAATACTTAGACTGTCAGAGTTTTCTTCGAGGTACGAGGACAATGTCCCGCCCGGCATCCAATCGTACACAATCGATGGAAGTGGTCCAAATCCATCAGCAAATCCTATTGGAGTAAGAATATTATCGTGTTGCAAAGCCATCCAGGTAGTAGCTCGGATTAATAACTCCTAGAAATATAGTATTAACGTGAATGATCTATGAAATCACCTCGAAACATTACAAACCTGGCCTTTGGACCCCATGTTTCCAAAATTCTCTATTCTCAACGACTTCACAGCGACCTGTTTTTATTAGGACATACTAGACGGGGTAGAACGTCCACCACAGACCTGTTTAGAGGTTGTGGCGGTAGAATATACAGCCTCGTACACATTTGCAGATGAAGTTCCGCTAATCCATCTTAATCTCCGAATCTTCGAAGTGAGGTCGTGCATCGGAAAAGTATTTCTTGGCGATATTAAGTGATCTATGAGATCGAGAAAGCAGTAACTTACACATGATCCTTCTTCTTCCTTTGAAATTTGGTCCTAAGACTTGTTAGCAAACTGTTCCAAGCACATAGTAAAAGAACGCGGGACAGCGACATTTGAAGTTCTGGAACTTCGTCGCAAGAGACTCCTCCAGACCCCGGAAGATTTGGTAGCACTGGCAGAGTCCAGACGCGATGGACTCATTAGAGATAAGATTGATTGTTGATGTTTGGCTTATTGCCTAAATTCGTTTGATCAGGATAACTTTTCCCCCTTCAATTCTCAGTTCGGAACTGCTGTGGAAGATTGTTACATTAAGTCAGCGTGGGGCCCCACTGGCACACGAAAACATTGCAAGCTACTTTGTCTTCTGCTTCGCGGAGTATAGAATTCAGTGTCAGCTATCTCTAAAAATTTAACTTAGCAAGGGCTCGAATCCATCTTCATCTTCCACTGGGGCCCTGGCTAGTTAGATTTGTGATCATTGACATTGAGGATTTTCTGTGGCTACGCCACTCGAGCATCCGTGGCAGGTATTAAATGAGTCAAATGACTGATCCTTGTAGCATAGCGTCTACGCAACTCTGCTAGCGAATTCTAAATCCAAATTATGTTATCCTTTAATTACCAAACCTATGAACATCTTTTTGGTGGAATTCGGTTTCCTCTCCGTTTTTTCACTCTTTCCGTTAGTGGGCAATAACAGTGGCAAAGTGGGGCGTACTAACGCAGGCACGGCTAGCAGGACAGGTCTGTGAAACCATAAATATTGAGAAAGCCGTGGCAATACCAGGTATGATAACTCTCTTCGAGATTCGTAATCCAGCCTGCGAACACGAGGTGTGTTACATCTATTTAAACTGCCCTATGCGAATTATAGAATCAGGTTTGGTGTGTATCTTGGCGCTGGACCTTTCGACCCCCACACTCATCAAATCTCCTACCCTGGTACTAATGTACCTGTCCAAGCAGTCGACCAGCGACCTTGTCGACCTCACAGATCGTATCACACGTACCAGTCCTTTTTATTCAGCTGGAGGAGGGTTTGGCGACATCTGGCGCTGCACGCTACAAACTGGTGCAATGCAGGATGTGGTACGATTGCTCGCATTGACGATCAGCATACATCTCAAATATTTCCAGGTTGCAGTCAAAGCGATCAGGTTTCAACCTGGTGAGGTCGATGCATCACAGGAAAAGGTAGTCTGAAACGTCACATTGCCGACTTCTTCACTTATCGGATTCTAAGGCGCTGCGACGTGAACTTGGAACATGGAAGAGACTTGTTCATACGAATATCTCGCCGCTGCTAGGCATAGCCAGAGGTTTTAGCCCTTCTATATCTATGGTCTCGCCTTGGTACGAAAATGGTTCACTGGCAGCTTATCTCCAGAAACATGAAGGTATTGTTCTGTCTGATCGCCTCCGCCTAGTGAGCATTTTTGCATGATAATACACCCACCTATTTTACCGATAGTTTGATAATTAGCTTCAAGATGTTACAATGGGTCTCCATTATCGTGTGTATTCGACGCCTCAGGTGTTTATGTCTTGCTCATACGCGCATTCATCTTTGATGCAGTGCATGGTATCCCAGTGGTTCACGGCGACTTAACCCCAGTAAGACAGGTCATCTTGGAGAGATTTGTCAGTATCTCATCACTTACTTGCAGAACAACGTGCTCCTGAACAACGACAAAAGGGCTGTCCTCATAGACTTTGGCTTGTCATCCATGCTTGGGGATGTCACGGGCTTCTCATATCTTGAACGGTCTTGTGCTCAACCAGGAGCAATTCGCTACAGCGCTCCCGAGCTTCTGGTTTTGACAGACTCTGACACATCTATCCAACCAGACATTCGAAGTGATGTCTACTCATTTGGCTGTCTCGCACTTAAAGTATGACTTGTCACTTCAATATGTGTGTAGCTACTCGAAGTGCTAATAGCAACAATTTGTTATCATAGGTCCTTTCGGGAACTGAGCCCTGGGCTGATGTCAAACATTGGAGATCTATCATCGTCAAAGTGGCAGATGGACACACACAACAGAGGCCTGCCTGTGGACCAGTCTTAGATGAACACTGGCAACTAATCCAACGATGTTTCTTACAACCTGGTGCTCGACCGTCCACATGTAACATTCTTAAGTTTCTTAAAACAGAATTGCAGTCGAAAGGTATTCATCAAAGTATGTCCTTGACAGTCGGCTAACGCAATTCTGGAGATCAAAAAGTGTTGGCTATGAATCGATCGACTGAATGTTCTAATCGAGATGAAGCTACGACATCTTTCAAGTACAAAGTATGTATTCTCTCTGTCCAAGTTCCTATGGAAATGCTTACTCCTAGTCATTTAGACTACTGTCAATACATCTCATTTGACACAAGCTTCTGGGACAAGTCCCATTATTAATGCTGGTCAATACATAGCGTCCACGTCGTCCAGCTTCATACCTGATATTCATGACAAAGGGAAAGGCTCTGCGCGCAAGTTTAGTTTGAAATTTTTCCGCCGTAACAGCGCACAGTCGGTAAGAAATATATTTTGTACCCTACAAACACGACTAAATTTTTTTGAAACAGATGAAAATACGAGACGCAAATATCGAACAAGAAATTACGGGTCATTTGTAGGTTTTCTGTCAGTGTCCCCCACACGTGCACGACTTACAGTATCCTTTCGAAACCTAGCGCTGTTATTGCGACCTGTTCGCTGAAGATAGTGCAAGACTTTGTCATACCTCCTGGGGGCCTTGGCAATACTTTTCAGTGTATCTTGCGGAACAAGGCTTTCAAAAATGAGAAGGTAATCGACCAAATTTATATATATTGTAGTACTGATATTTGTCCAGGTCGCTGTCAAGTCCATCAAGGTACGAGATGACGATAAAGGGAGCATTAAGGAGGCTCAGAAAGTCAGCCTTGGAAATCCCGAAAAAACTTTCAATGCTGATCCTTGGACTTATCAGATCATCCTGGCGGAAGTGCAGGGCTGGATATCTCTCCGCCACGAAAATCTACTGCCTATCTACGGCACTACTACTGGGTTCGGTTCTAGCCTTCCCTGTTTGGTATCGCCTTGGATGGAGAATGGATCCTTGACCAGCTATCTAAGTGCCATGAATCAAACTCTCACAAGCGCTGCGAAATTCTTGCTTGTGCGTTTCTCAGTTCGTAAAATAAAAGCTTTTCTTACCCGCATCCAGCTATCTCATGTCGCAGCTGGGCTCCGCTTTCGTAAGTACGGAGATGTCCCGCCAATAAAATACACCTCATCGATTTTATCAACAGTTCATAGTAATACCATAATTCACGGCAATCTCAGTAGCGTTAGCCCATTCTAAGTCATTCCAGTGGAGCCCGCTAACAGCTAAACTTCTAGAACAATGTTCTCATTGATAATCGCCATACCGTCCGTCTCGCAGACTATGGCCTGTCTTCAGTCGTATCCATGTGTGGCGAACTTTTTCAGTCCTATCATTGTGGTGCTTTGCGCTGGACGGCCCCGGAACTGATCAGCGGCAATGAGCAGGAGCTCGGTAACGAGTTAAGCCGTTACATCGATATCTATTCTTTCGGGTGCATCATGCTTCATGTATGCTAAGTTGATGTATTACTCTTACTTCACCAGCTGATGCCTGTTGAGGTGCTCTCCGGAAAGTTACCATACTGGTGGCTGGACGATGTTCTGCGCGTGGTTTCTGCGCGACACAATGGCGTGAGTCCAGTTCGTTGCGGAATGGAGGTGCATGAGGGATATGTGGAATTCGTCCACCATTGCTTGTCGGTTTCTCCTACGGACCGTCCAACAATAGATAAGATCGACGGTTTCATTGCAAGATCTACGCGGTCCATTGTAAAGTAGAGCCGTATTCCACTCAGGTTGATAGTCATACACAACTAGATGCCCATAAGAAATATACAATATCTGATCAACACAAGGTCCATTAGAGGGCTGCGCCAGCAGTATAACCTGGGTCCCACGACCGAGATCTTGCTATCTCTCTCTCTCGCCACCGACTCTCGAAGTAGATAAAGGTGACAACAATATCATCCAAGATGGGTACAGCCTCTGGTGGTATAAGAAGCGCAGCAGACTTCTTGCGCCTGAACAGAGCTGGCGTGAGCGTGGTGACAAAAGTGGCAATGCATGCCTGTGAGCGAGCGACCTTTAATGGCACAAGCTGGTCATATGCAATTGATCAGTAATCGACCGATGTTCGCATGCTGCATAACAACATAGACACTCACTTGTGCTCGACATTCACGAATTTGCCACTCATACCACTCACCGTGAATCCCTTGATACTTCTCCGGACTGCTTGGAAATCCGTCAACGCTGAACGTTTAGTTTCACTAAGTAAGCCTCTTACGATGTATATAGTCCCGTCTTTATCATCTCGATTGGCCTAGACCCCACAAAAACTGCAGTCCGGTCATTGGGATTGGCTGGCCACTCAATGATGCCCACGTGGAGAGATTGTCCAACAACGTTTTTCCAAATCGTTGTGGTAGCTTTACTCCCACAGAAGGGTCGATTACGTGTAACTGTGTCAGAGGTGTAGTGTATGGCATGCTCTGGGCAAGAGAAAGTGGTCTGGAGTGGATCGTTTTTCGCTAAGGATAGCCGAAGGGTCATATCACCAGCGGATTTGGCGCTCGTGGTTGGCTCTGGTTTTACGTCCTGTTACTCCTGTAGATATGCTAGTCTAGGGCCCTCCTAGGGAGGCATCAAAACATGGAGTGACTCACCGCTGACTGTCCCACAATTTCAATTTCAGGGTTTCGAGGCACGAACTGGAGCACAGAACGACGCCAGCGCTCTAACTACGAGCATACAAGTAGGCGCCAACGAAAATACCCACCCCCACATAACACTGGCAGGCACTGTCGGAGAAGGTACTACGTATACGGCTAGGCTTGCAACAGCGTTCTCCATCTATTATTATGTAATATGAACTACAGCATTCGCTGAGTTTGAAATTGTATGACTACTCAGTCGCACTCTTCAGGCCGCGGAACAGTATAAATCAAAAAATCCATGTAAATACTAAATGCAACAAAGGCCTTTGTTCTTGAACAAGACTCTCACCATGGCGATCAACCCAGAGTCCAAGAAACAATCTGTGTCTTTCGGCAAGACGATGTCAGGTACTAAAGACTTACCTCCAACGTTTCCTCCGTTTCCGGCAGTACCGCACGGTGTCACCATCACTCCTTTCAAAGATTTTACGCCGTATGGCTACAAACGCCTTATAACAGAGACTGGAGACGAAATCGAAGTTGATGCTCTCGGTGGCTTGCCCACCGTGAAGGTTCTCTCCGAGGCAGAGGTCGTTCAGAGAAATAAAGACAGAAAACGGCGCAGAAATGCAGGACAGAGTGCGGACGCCACAGGAAGAATCGTGCCCTGGTGGGAGGAATGGGAAGGGGGTGAAGATTCGCGTACTATGAGCGAGCCAATAGAACTGTACTTGTCTTCTCTCCTTGTTCACATGTGAAACAGCTAATTTTCGGACATTTAGGCGAAAAAGCCTCAATGATCGGGTCCATCAAGCTGCGGATGATTTCCGGATTGGTCGTACTTGGCCGCCGATATCTTCTGGAGTTAGAACATTATGGGATCATGTACAGAATTTTCAGTATCGTTTGAGTGTTCTGATTGATTTCTGCAGTTCCGTCTGTACATTGGCCTTCTGTCTAGCTTGCCGATCTACCGCAAAGTCAAGAAGTCCAAGGGCAATACAGACATGACTTGTGAAGGAGGTGGTGACGCCTCGGATAACGATGATACCCCAAAAGCAAAACAAGTAAACGCCAACATTGTTCAAGATCCACTGGAACAGGTCGCCCATCCAGGCAAACAGCTAGAGCCAAATGAAGGGGAGTCGGATGTCATGGCTCGGTTACTTGAAACTTTCCTTGAAGACATGGAGAAGTCTATCAAGGTCTTTATGTCTTCATATATGCGAGATAAAGGTTTGATCTGGCAAGTTCGCCTACTTCCTTACCTGTTGTCTGGCATTCATGGATCACGCAGGTCGGAACGCAACCTTTTCATTACACCCTCGGTACTCCACTTTTTCCTTCGCTTCATGCAGCGCAACGGGGTTTTCGCCGGATTCGAGACTCACACCGAAAACTTAAACCGCGCGGTAGCTGTCGCCGAGCTCGCTATCAGGGAACTTCCTTTGACGGCTAGGGTTGCACGAGTTTTGCCAGGCATGTTCGACGCTGCGTGCAAGGAGTGTTGGGGATACAAAGGAAGCATCAGCATGTACATATCCACCACTCTTGATTCCGAGGATGGTTGCACTAGCACTGATACGCCCGCTTCATCGACGGTTGGCACATTTGAGGAGGCGCTCAAGGCCGATCACGCTGAAATCGTATCCTCAGATGTTGTCCTTGACTCGTTGATGGCGAAGGAGGTCTTAGATGACACCTTCGGCTCTGATGATGGCGTGAATGTTTCCCCTCCTCCAGCGGATGACCCTTGGGCTGCAGCTATTACGACAGGGCAGAACACTACGGTCTCGTGGACTGATGCCAAAGTTGACTCACTGTTTACCTTCCTCGGCCCAACTCAATTGCCTTTGACGCATACTACTGGTGTTGTCGAGTTCTCTACGCGCAAAGTCAAAGAAATAATGCTACCAGAAGTTATCAACTCAATTCCAGATTCTCCATCCGCAGCAATTGAGCAGGAGCTAGGAAGTCGCTTCGCTCGTGTCGTGTTGGAACCTTGGGTTCGCACCCCAACAGACGAACTTCTTGATATCGTAAGACCTATTATCACGTCTTCCAGTCGCGGGGCCGTCATCAAGGACCCGTTCGCGGACATCATTGATGTGTCTGATGCTCACTCCCCTTCTGATGCATACAACTCCTGCCGTGACGACCTGACCATACTCATCGACTCATCGTCCGTAGATTGTTTACATGTCGGCCTTGGCTTGTGTGGCACATGGGTCCAAATGACTCGCTGCGAAGATGTGGAGAGTTTTATCACTCCTATTGATCAAGGTACTCCACGCGTCAGCAAGCATCCCCGCGATTGCTTCTGGTATCTGGAGGACGTTGTATCTATCTTCCCCAGTTTCTACACGGAATCGGAAGTGGAGATTGACCTCGGCCAGACAACCGACAATGATGACCTCTAAGTCACAAACTGCTCCTTTTTGGTACCCCGGCTTACAGGAAGAAATCGCCATTGTATGTTTCATTATGATCATGGATATCTCGCATCACGATTAATAAGCACTACTCCATCTTGTTTGACACGTCGATAGCCGTTGACGACAGAAGTTTCATATATCCAAGAATTATCGAAGTTCGCGTCATACAGTATGTATATCCAGCCTCATCGCTTCATCAAGAAAATACCTGTAGCAATAACAAATCAGATGGAGACACAATTGACACCATGTGCTTGCTAGTTACCAGCACGATCGAGAGATTTCACACATGACCTGGCGCACTTGTTGAGCGTGGATGGTCACCATCTAGTGCATTGCGAGTGAGGTACGTGGCAGCGTTTAAGTCGACGGTCATGGAGCGTTCAAATTCGTCATTGTTTGCAAGTAGCGGGATAAGACATCACTCCAAGCAGATCTTCAGAATCATGGTTGTTCTGGCTTGGATGAACCTTTGCGGTCATATGTGATGGAGTGGGGACCCCCCAGCTTCTTGCTCTTCGAAAGACCTACTGTTGGGCGATGATGCTCGCACGCCGTGCCGAATTGGGCCAATGAAATCACAATTTGTACAGATTGCGGAGTTGACAGCACGAGCTCATCATGTACAACAGTGGGTTATTGAGTATTGTCCGGGTCAGTGAGATCGGGAATCGTTGGTAGTTGGCAGGTGCGACGGTTCCAGAACTCGAGCCCAGACTCCTGAACGCCAGAGATATGAACACAAACGTTTATATCTGAATCGGGATGAAAATAGTAAGTAGTTTCGGCGATGCTTGAGGACCATTGCAAGGCTTCAACGGGTTGTATCTAGAACAGGATTAGAAACATGAGGTAAGTGTACTGATCCCTTGGTGCTCGTATGATATGATTGCAGTTAGATTTTGTGGAGGTTGCGCACGTAAATTCCTGATCCGGGCCCGATCACTCCGAACTCTTCGCTTCGTACACCGTGCTTACGACAATCAAATACTTCCAAATGCATGTTCACTTTTGCACACTGCCCATACGACAGCCGCCTATATATCGTACGTGTCGTCCGCTACGTTTTTAGTCTTTGTCAGACTAGATACCGGCCCAGACTCATAACTCAGCCGTGTGTCCAAACCTGCTCGATGGATCAAGATAATCCTCCTAGGAAGAAGCGCTGGGGGTGGCTGAAAAAAAGTCGTTCAGACCCTCATTTGGCGCAAGCTGAGAGGGTTGCGAGAGTAGCTAGTCAAACCAATGTATGGACTATTGCCTTTACAACTAATCGTTATGTCTAAACATGTAGTTTCAGCCATCATCTCTTTCATCTTCGCGGACTGAATCTCGTAGGCGATCCTCCGGGTTAATTCGCGAGTTGTGGGATAGAATTTTCAAGAGTCGTTCGACTCGTAGCGCTAGGCGTACACTGAACCCTGAACCTGCAGCTGTAAGTGCCAGCGCACGAGATATCCCACATCCTCAAACGAGCCAAGTATGTCTTACCCTTGCCATGTTTTGTGTGTAATCTAACAGTCGCAGGATTCTTCACCACTCACCACTCCTGCCCCCGTACAAAATCCTGACCAGTCTTCCAATTTGAGTGTTGCGAAGGTCAGTTTGATCAGCCGTTCGGAACATCCTTATCTATCTCTTTCAATAATGTACTAAGTTCTGTCATCAGGTCGAACAACTAGACCCGAGGATTGTGAACGAAAGAATCGCCGATGCTACCAAAGGTGTTGCAGGTATCGGGCACGTCCTGGGAATTGTCCAAAGTACTTATACAGCAACCAACGACCTGCAATCTGTTTCCGATGCGATAGGCACACTTTCCCCTCTTATTGGCCCCTTAAAAGTGTTCAACTCTATTGTTAACGGACTTGCAGATGTACGGGTTTCTCTCTATTTTGTACATGGCTCACCTTCGTGCGTAGCTCCATCCGTATGCGAAAGTGGCGTTGAGTATCTTCACATACGCATCCAAGGTGGGCTTCTTTCAATATCATCGCCTTCACGTGTTAACAAGGTCTCGTTGACAGATGATTCTCGATCAGGCAGACCGCGATGTCGCTATTTCCCGTCTGCTCTTGAAGATATCTCAAGTCTATACTTTCATTACGGAAAAGGAGGAATTAGCCAAGATTGAATCCATGCTAGCGGTATATGGAATGATAGCTCAGCAGACGCTGGATTGTGCTGATTTTATCGCTCATTATTCTGAGACGAAGAGCGCCTGTGAGTTGATCACACCGCTTCGTCCCCTGAGACTC